GCCTCGTGGACAACAGCGCCACCACACTCCGCCATCGGAGCGGCATGGCGGCCAGGCTCGTGGTGGACCGGGCATTTTAGGATGAGAGAGGGCGAGGGACGGCCCAGGGGACTTTGGACCATGGACTGCAGCCATCCCTGCAGGACGGCCCCAAAGACCCGGCTTAAGCCGGCGATGCAGCGGACGGCCACATCGTACCGTCGCTACCTGGACCGTGCTCGAGTAGCACACTTCTGTAGGGCGGCACGTGAACGCTGGCACTTTCATGAAGAGGGGCGGAAGTCGAGAGAATTGCACGCATTAAGACTCGGCGAGCGCGATCTTGAACGGATCATTGTGTACGTCCAGCGGTGCCAACCGAACCTGCTACGCCAGTCCGACCAGCAGCGCCATCCACCCCCTGACGCCCATAAAGACGCTACCGTTATTGATATGCCGGACGAAATTTGACGGGGGGGGGGGGGGGGGGCGGGGGGAGAGTTTGGGAACCGGTTGGATGGATGGATGAATGGTTTTTAATGGCAATATCCTTTGTAATGGGTGGTAGCTTGCGCCACCTAACGTAAGTCTAAAAAGACAAGAACATATGATTCCTCCCGCCTAGTGCCCCTAAAGAAGCTACGCCTCAGAGTGACGACACTGGGCCATATTGTGTCTTAAAATTATGGTTACCAGTTATCTGAAGCTTTATCTGAAGTCACAGGGGTGTTTTGCCGCCCTCTACAAATTATTAAACAGTTCGCTATAAAAATAATCAATATTACAAGAGCTTTCTAATTACGAATCTAATGCTGAGGAAGTCATACCTTTGAATCGTGACGATCGGCAGTTGCGTACGCTCTGCACAAGCCCCAAAATCGCGGCGCCTTCAAAAATGTCGGAGAACAGTGTGCGGATACTCTAAGCGGAGCTCATTTAGTGACTCTACTCTGGCCCTTCTAAGACCAATTTGTCCCCCTATCACCAAGCACTGTGGGATATCCGCAGGATGACCTTGGGGGGATCGGGCGAAAAACTAATAACACCACACTCCTGCCTCTTCCTCCCGGCGAGGGAGCCACCAATTTTCCTCTGGTCAAACCTTGTCGGCGTTGTTCCAGCACCGGACACACTGGGAGACAGCGTTGAGGCTTTAGACCGGAGCCACGTGGGAGGGAGTCCCAATTTTCCTCTTTTCCGCCTCTCCCCAGCTGTGCTACTTGGTTGTCCATAATTAAGTCGTCCCTAGACAATTTCCACCAATCATCTAATCGCTTCTTTCTCATTTTAATCCTTTTCTCTTCCGTCATTCCATCGTCGCAAGCAAAACCCAAGGCCCCGGTAGAATCCGTCACCCCTTCAGGGAGGGCAGGGCGAAGCCTTGTGCACTTCAAAACCAGGTGCTCTAATGTCTCGCTACCATTATGGCAGGCACTACATAATCTGTCTCCTGAAATTCAGCCCTCTACCACCTCGTCCTCAAAACTTCCGTTCTCGCTTCAAACAGCACAGAAATTCCCAGTGAACTGTCGAACACATTTTCCTTTCTCATGTCCTGCTTTCGTGACGTATACACTGTTAGAGTTGATTTCTCCTACATACTTCCCTCCAACATTTTCCTCTCTGCTTCTTTCACCCCCTTTTTCACTGAAGTAGTCTGGTCAGCCACATCACCAGTGTGTAGGTATTTAAATGTAAGCTTTCGGGTTCGGTTTGTCCATTTTGTGTTTAAACTTTTCATGAATACCTTCCGTGCCGACCGCGTTTCATCTATTTCGGTCAACCTTTGCTCAAATTTCAACCTACTAATTGCCTCCCTGCTCTCAAAAGACGACCATCCCATGTCCCCCTGTACTCCCTCATTTAGTGTTTGTCTATGTGCTCCCAGTGCTAATGTATCTACGCTTCTCTGTAGAATTTCTAATCCTAAGAGAACCTCCGATTTCATGTATTGTAGTACATTGCCAAGAGACAGTCCTCGTACTATCACTTCTTTCCATATACCTCTGACCCCTTCGTATCTATTATAGTTCCCTAGTGCCTTGAACTTCATAATAGTTTAAATTCTTTTCCCTTTTGCAATTATATTTTCCCCATGTTCCTCTAGATATTTCCCCCCCTAACTGAGACAGATTCCCAGATATTTGTATTTTCCTACACGTCTTTTATCCTCAGGGGTTCGCTCTTTTTGTCGTTAAACATCATTACTTCAGAATTGTCATTACTAAAACTCATGCCTAAAGGTGCCCCTTCCTCTCCACATATTTCAGCTAGTTGGTGTACTGTATCCTGGTTATCTTCCGTGAGTGATATGTCATCCGCATACATCAGTCCTGGTATTATCTGTATTACATTTCTCCCTCCTTTTATACAAGTAACGTTAAACCCTAAGTTTCTCTGCTCTCATTTATTTTTCATTTCAGTGAGATATATCATGAAAAGCAGAGGTGACAGTGGACAAACCTGCCTGAGTCGTCTTTTTATTGCTGCGTGTTGTGTAGTTCCTGCTTGCCATGCTATAACTACCTTATTGTCTGCGAATACCTGCTGAAGAAACCTAACAAAATTTTGTATCCAAATCATACACCGTGGCGGCTCCACAACACAGTTGCCAGACTACGGTGCACAGGCGGCGGACTTTCCCGCGAAGCGGCAGATTCAAGCCGGCCACACTGCCTTGATAAGGCCTCATCCACACAGCCGGCGCCTCTCCCATCCCGGCACCGTCACGGGAGCACACCGGGGCGGGGACGCGCCAGAAGGGTGCCTGAACAGGCCGCGAGGGGAAAGCGACGGCGGTCGCGACGGCAAAATTGGATTGGATCTAATTGCTTATTTATTTAACTTAAATTACAAAATAAAGAGATAATTCTGCTTGAACATTAGTGCGCACGTTTCTTTTTTGTAGATTAGGGATTTGTGTCTGCTATTAGAATTCTCGCTGAAAAGGAACAAGAAAAACAACGCAACAAGTGTTGGCTGACTGTTGGCAACCGGAACGATAAAAAATCTTCCAAACTTAGAGAAACTTTTCTATTTTGTGATTGGTCGCTTTTCGACGGGGGTAGGACTCCGTCATCCGTCGGGACGCCGGGACGCCGGTGCCGTAGAGCAGCTTCCTACGTCGCCCGGCACTCGGCGCGGCACAGCTTTTCGGCAAAAACCGGGCCGAAAATCCTCTCCCCTGGCGGGAATGCCCCTTGCGACGGTGACGGGATGGGAGAAAGGCCGGCTGTGTGAGAGGCCTAAGACGGATCAGAAGCGGCGCGCAGGCAGTCGCTGCCCGGACTCAAATACCGCCGGTAACGATTTTAGTGTATTGATTGTCTCGTACATGTTCATTTCAATGTAGTGTCTTGTTCTTAAACCCGCTGGCTTCATATTATTCCTGCAGGACGGGTAGACAGCAAGGCACACCGACCAAAACGTCTCAACATATATACGGGATCCTCTATGCGGATAGAGATCCTACATAGTTATACGGGATCCTGTGTGTGGTTCCATATTCGTATACAGGATTCTGTATGTGAATGGGGGTTCCGTATACGTATACATGATACTGAATCCAATAGGCTCGTATAAAACTTATACAGGACCCGTATGAGATATTTATGCAGGGTTTATCAACAGGGTAGACTGGGGCGGAAACATAAAATATTTTTGACAGTGGTCCTTCCCCAGTTTCGGCTTAAATTCAACATCGTTCAGTCCTAGTCGCATCCATAACTTCATCATTTGCTGCTGGAATTCGTCAGCTGCTGCAAGTGATTTGGCCGCCAGAGTTTGCATCTGGAGAGGCAACACAGTCCCTTTCCTGAGTGTTGCCACGCTGTTAATGAAAAATTTCGAAAGTTTCAGAACGAATTGTTTGTCAGGACGGAAAATACTGATTTTGAGTGGCAGCTTCCCCTTGTTGTTTTATCGTGTATCCAAGTTGTTACAGTGTCTTGTTTTTAGGTTGTGAAGATTCTGCCTCAAGGACCCTGGCGTTCTCGCTGTGCACGAGATGCCTGTCGAGCTTGCTGGCTATCTCACGACGGTTTCGTTGCTTGCGCCGGTTTGGCGGGAGATAGCAGACAGTCATAAACGTGCTGTCCTTCAACTTCCAAGCCCTCAACGATCTTGTGCTTGCGTTTTTATGTGGGAAATCCACGAGCGCCCGTAGCAAAGATGTTTCGCCCGAACATTCGTAGATTCCTTTCCACGGACGGTACTGGTTGCATACGGGCCTTGTTCAAAGCGTTTAGTGGTGGCCTGTCACCGCCAGTCTTGTTTGAAGTTAAGATGCTGCGCCAGCATTACTGGAAGTGAAGACGTTGGTAGCTGAACGCACGGCCATAGAAGCGCAGCACTTTTTGGGGAGCCCAAAATTTGCCTAAGCTTACGCCGTCATTACGTAAGGAATCCGCCATTGAGAGCTAATGCCGAATGACGCTTAAGTGGCCTCAGTGAAATAGAATGCACACGCTCAGCATCCACGTCACCAAACACTATGTGGAGGCTGCCTAGCCAAGTGAAAAATCTTATATGTATAAGACGTTTCTTCGTCCAATAATCGCATTAGAAAAATAAAATATGGAAACATAAAAAACTTATAAGAAGTCCTTATGAATTCTTATATAAACTTATAGTATTATTATATTTTCTTCTACCGGTTTCTTTTAAGCTCTTATATACCCTTCTAGTATTCTTATATGTTCTTTTGCCGTATGTTCTTACGTGATCCTATATCAACATATGCGCTTATTGGATCAAGAACTTCTATATAAAAAATACTTTTTACTATGGTAGGTAGCAACCAGCCGAGTCGGCGTGTCATATCTCACTGTTTTATTTTCATCGCTGGAAGTATTGGAAGCAAAGAGGGAAAAGGCAAAGTGCAGGCTAAGGGCTCTTGCGGTTAGACGGCGCCGTAGTTGTTTGGAGAGTGACGCCACTTATGACTAGATATATAATGAACAACACAAAGGAGGGAAGTACGTAAAGTTGAAACCAGTCTGAGCATAAGGAATTCGTTGTTTTTATATCAGACCACCACAGACATCAACAGCCGAGCCAACCATAAAGCTGCTTCCGGAGTTGCATAGGAACTTGACGACTTCGGCCACCTCTTCTGGAAGACCGGCTCTTCCAAGGGTGATGCGATCCACGGCCTGGGAAAGAAACTCGGGACTGAAGAACTTTAAAGGCATTGGTGTTTTGATGAAACTAGGCAGCACTACGTTTACGCGAATGCCGTGGGAAGCCAGCTCCTTTGAAACCACTTTGGTGAGCGCCAAAACCCCTGCCTTGGTCGCCGAGTACGTGCTATTGTCTTTGTGAAATTTTTTCGCGACCATGCTTGACATGTTTACGATCGTGCCGTCGGTAACTTTCCCGGCAATCATGGATCGGGCAGCCGCTTGGGTCACCAGGAAGGTCCCCTGAAAGATTGCGTGTCTGTGATTAGACGGGAACACGCCTACAAATGACTCTGCAAAGTGACGTTTCAAATTTCGGATATTGCGAATTCTGAGCAAAAATGCAATATTACCAGAATAATTTTTGCATTTCTTCCAACCTATGTAAAGTAAGAAAACTAATCGTGAAAACTTTAAGAGCGACCGCAGACCCTCACTCGCTGGAAAGAGATGGCATCGCGTCAAGTACTGCAGCGAATAGTAAAACCTGCAGTTAAATATAAAACACAATGAGAAAGAGCACTCAGCTGAATATTTCACACCATCAGTGTTACTATGGCGTTACTGAAAAGATAATAAACCCATACACGGTGCACCCTAAAGAAAACGCGTTGAAAGCAATGAGAACCATGCTACGACATTTCTGAAGCTTTCTGAGGAATGCTTATGTTAATGCGAAAAAACCGTTGCGCATGCAGTGCCTAATCTGCAATCCCGTATCGGGTACTGTTTGTCGGATTGTAGAGGCAACATACCCGAAGTCATTAACTGTATGCTGGAGAAATGAGTCATTCCCCTATTAAACCCCTTACTAGAAAATTAAAAAAAATACAACGAACCACAGCAAATATCTGAACGTTGAGACGTCGCGTGCGTCTTGTATTCAACGTTCAAGTGTCTGATTTATATTAAAGTAAGTTTACCAGATTGCCTGTGATTCTTTTCTTTCAGTGTCATCCCCGTTCGCGCTGCCAGCTTCTCTGAGTCTGCCGCTAGGCATTGATCCTTTTACCATGTTAAATTGTCATGTTAACTGCACGAAGGCGGCCAAAAAGAAAATAATTTATTTTTACAAAATGGTGTATTCATTTTTCATGTATCATTTCAGTCGCCTTCAATGTACTCTCCGCCTGAAAGTAATACACTTGTCGAGACTTTTTTTTTTTTTCAATGCTGGCAACTTCTAAACTTGTCCTTTTTTACGCCTATTAGTCTTTCTGTCGTTCTTTGTTAACGTGAAACGTTCTTTGGTTAGGTGTTCGGCATTTCGTGAGGCCTGTATAAAAGTGTAGCCGCGAGACCCGACATTGATCGGTTGACGGGTGGGAAAGGAGGAGTAAGGTACTCGACGCTGATTGCTTCAGGTGGAGGTTATGGGACCAGAGGATTACGCGAGGATGATTGGTGTACGCGAGGACGAGCTCGACCGCCTGTGCGCCATAAGGGAGAAGCGCTCGAGACTATGGAAAGGTCTGGAAGATCACCAGGTCTATCAGCCCGGTTATCGGTAGTATTGCTTCCTTCTAGGAATAACTATCAAGTGCCTATACTATACGCCTTAAACTATCAAATTAAATACGCCTTGAGCATAGACGTCTGACGTCTGGAAACTGAGAGTATCGCTAAACCTTTCTGATGCTTAAACGTTTGACGTGTGCAACACAGGGACTTTGACTGCTATGCTGATGAAGAACGGTCATTAAAACACGAACCTAGAGGGTGGAAAACTTAAACCGCGTACCCCAAAGAGCCCATCCTTCAGAATATAACTTTGTTATGCTTTTGAATAAACACTTGGATATACAAGGGGCGCTCAAAAAATTCTCGGCCTGGCACAGAATAATTGCGAGAACGGGCGCGAAATTTTAATTTAGCGCATGGAAAGTTCTTCAGATTCACGAAACCAACAAATGGCGCATGTGCACAATACTTCTACCAGTGGCAGCAGCTAACATGTAGCAGTCCTTGCACATGAGCTAAAATGAAGAAAGGTAAACACAGGTTTGGTGAATAAATAGTTATCTCGGAAGCGCCCAACTCTATCAGGCATTCATCAATACTTTGTGGTAACATAGGCACAGAATTCCCCATCCTACAGCACGGAGATGAAGTGAGCCGTGCAATATAATTGGGGACGGGAGAACCTCGCAAGCCACCCCTGCCTTGGCAGAACTGCTGAGTCACCACGCAAGAAAGCATCGACCGTGTGCGCGGTAAGGTACAGGCAGATCGCCGGTGAAAAGATCAAGACCATTGCACAAGTTACAGTAATTTATAAAACCACAGTTAAGTGCATCTTGATCCAACATCCTGACATGCACAAGGGGTTCCAAAGACTACTTGCGTGTGACCAAAAACAGACCCGCTACACGCAATTCTGGGGACAACCTCAAGCTGCTCAGTGCAAATCCATCAGGCTTCTGTGCCCGATTTTCCGACTGCGGAAAAAAACTGTGTTCACCAATTTGACATCAAAGACCAGTCTAAAGAGTTGAAACACCCCTCCTCTTCACTGCGAAGAGGGCTCGGTCTGTTCTACCAGCAGGCAAAGTGATGGCCACGGTCTTTTGTAGATTGGGAAGGCGTGCTGTTGAAGAATACTTTCAAAAAAGGAACAGCATAACGGGTAACTACGACGCAAACCTGATTCATTGTCTGCCGGATGCCATCGAGGCCAAACGGAAGATTGTGCTGTTTCATCAGGACAATGCGCACCCACACCGCGCTGCTGTGGGGATGGCTGCCGTCCGCTCCTGTGAATTTTTTTAGGTCGACCATCCGCCGTAATCGCCAGATCTCGCTTCATCAGACTTGCATATCTTCCCCCAGCTAAAAGCAAAACTTTCTGGTGTTCAGTTTTTTTCTTCTGACTATGGCGTCACTGATGCTGTGACCCATTTTTGGAGAAAAAAAATCCCATATTTTTAAGAAGATCCAGGCACTGGCGCATCATTGGGCGAGGTGTGCGGGCCTCAAAAGAGACTATGTCGAGAAATAACCTAAGTTTATTCACCTATGTTACCTCCTTTAATGGCAAGCTCCGAACGTTTAGAACGCCCCTCGTATGCAGTGTACATTCCTGGACAAAATCGGTTGAAACAAAGGAGTGACAACTCAAATATACGTTCACAAGAACAGTTCACGCGAAAGAAACAGGGGAAGTAGAGGAGTGGACAGAACAAGACAAGGGTGGCGCGGCCCCGATGGGAAAAATGAAATGATTATCGAAAATTGGTATGAGTACAAGAATGAAGTGTCATAATATTTAACTCAGCAGAGCGGATCTTGAATACTGCGCGCTGTTGCTGAGCAGAGGTAACTAGAGGTCGCGTTTCAGCATCTCACTTTCGGATGTTCAGACAACAGAAAAAAAAATTTGACGGGTGCAGGGTCTATCTGACCAAATGATGAAGGCGACGACTAGCGCGAGGAGGAGGAAACAAAACGCAAACGCGAATTACGTTGATGTGCTAATATAATTTGTAAACAGAGCAGGCCGAGTCGGATAACAGTGGCCAGAGTACCCCCGTCTGCATCATTTCTATATTTAATAGTCCTACTTCTAGCGTGGGGTCAGCGCCAGTGGTTTATTTTGCTCTCCGCTTGGTCTTTTTTTTGTATATAATTATGCTCGTCTGAACTTTCATAAAGGTATGAACTCCATTCCAGCAAACAAATAATTTTGAAAGTTGACTCAAAACGCACAGTCGTGATACATATACAAATGAACCCGTGATGACCGACAGCTTTGTACTCGCAAGTTCAGTAAGCGTCACTGATGGCGGTGTGTACTTTTTGCGAAACAACTGAGGCAAGACGAAAGATAACACGCTTCGTGATGTTTCCAGTTTGGAGCGGTCGAGGCTCGTGAGTTCACGTTCAAATAAATAGCAACTGTAATTCATGGCCACCATGTGTTACGGAGCAACACTATTGTCCCTTAAACGCTAGGGCATAGGGGAGAGTGGGAAAGATTGGGACAGTTACCGCTCACATCCTGTAGAATAGATATAAATGGTAACAACCTTGAGGTTGACTCGAACCACATTATCAAAGTCCTCCTCGCTGGTGTCAATGATGGATTTTGCCAGGAGGCCAATCCCGGCAGAATTCACGGCGATGTTAAGTGGTCGGCCGCAGGTCTCCCGGATGGTCTCGAAGAGAGAATTCACCGATGTCGAGCACCCGACGTCCACCTTAAACGCATAATGTTGGTGGCTTCCTGGGAAGTGTAAGGGTGGATCTCAATAGACAGTTCACAGAACGCTTTGGTCAGATAAAATCTTGAATGTACGGTAGGGGATATTTACAGCCAGAATGGATAAGGCCGCAAAGTATAGTAATATATGTATAATGCCAGTGTGCCGGCATGTCTGTTCATTCATTTATGATCGCCAGAATGAGAATATATACCAGGCAGAGTCTGTCCTTCAATGTTGATTTCTTGCTCCACGAGTCTCACCATTATCTGATATGAGAACGAGGAGTAATAATGCACCGTCCATACACTCTTAAAAAAAACGTTAGTAGTACTTACTACGTATAAGCTACTAACTGCTTGTTATGTATGTTGCTATATACCTAGTAACCGTAGGTAGTAACAATGACAAACCAATGTTGTATCGTTTACTATCCCTCGCTACTAATTGGCACTAATTTTCACAAAACCCAGGCTGCTCTAACTAGTCAAAGTCATAATCAGATTCGGCTCAAAAACATTACCGTTTTATAGATATTTTTTCACGGTGCTTACAGTCACATTTCAACACGTTTTATAAGTTATTACAGGCAAGCAATTAGAACACAGATCACACACCCCCTACACACGCCACGACACGCAACCCAATCGTTATCCACAACATCTACCCATGCGTCCTCTATACTCAAGATATAAAATCAGTCAGTCGGTCAATGTCTATACCTCGTCCTTGAATGATGTGGCAAATATGTTACTGCATCCGCATCAGTATTGTTCTCCATTATTGTTGCTTAACATTCTAAGGTATTATTTTTTACTAAGAAATACGTACCTTACTACGTGAACAGCCCATTAATTCTAGGTGTTTCGCCTACGGAATAGGCTCAAGAAAGCTGCATAGGCCCTTCCCAAAATCGTATTCTGCGCCCTGTTATATTGGTCTATTTAGCATGAAACGCCTACAGAGCACGCGCAGGTTCTCTGTTTGACGAAATATGCAAGACGCCATGAATGCTTCCCAAACCTTACTCTTAATTTATCGCATGAGTGATAAGCACAGAGTTCTGTAGACATACGAAATAAGCTATTAGGTACACAAGCTCAAAATATATAAATGTAGAACTTTCTGCACTCTGCGTGCTTCTACCTGGCAGAGATGATGCAGTAGTGATTGCTGCGTCCAAGTTGATGTCCGCCACAATGACGCAAGTACCCTCGCTGGCGAGAGCATGGCAGACGCTCTTCCCGATTCCACTTCCACCTCCAGTCACGAGAGCGAGGCGAGTAGCAGAGGAGGTCTTCGCAGAGCCTGGCATGGCAGCGGGTACAAAAGCAGGCACTCTCTGGCTATAAGTAACCGAGGAATAACTGAGCCACTGGTAACCGATGTCGCTCGCTCTAGGTTATATACCTGCAGGACGGATACAGATGTTACGAATGTTAAATATTTTGTTGAAAGGAAAAATAAAAATAAAATGTTATTATTAATGGCGCCAGTCCTGGACGTGGTTTCCAGTGACGGCGTATTTGATTAATTCTTAAGGTATAGGCAACGAAAGCAAGCGAATTCACTTAATCCCCTCCCGTAACAGGGGACGGCAGAGATATTTCCCAAAAAAAGATGTTTCGGTCAGTTTACCTGGTCACGGAGATGACTATAAAAAATAAAAAGCGGAGGTATATAAAGGAGTCGGCAAAACTAAACGTCTATAGTATACTCCGTTTTATATTAAGCCATAAGCTTGGTACACTAAAGCCTTGGATGCTATTGCTCCACTAAATCCACATTCATTGTGATCATCATCACATTCAACAAAACTGCAGTCAACGCTACGATCCGTTTGAGCCGATCAAGCAGAGCCAAGACTGTATTTGATTGTATCTTGCTAAAAATCGTCTGCTTTAGGGCTGTTATTACAAACCAACTAAATCAATCACGCACAGTAAATGCACCGCAATTCTGCCAGGTTTTTTGTCTGTGTGAGATTGTATTTGTCAAAGTAGACGCACACAAATGACGTGTGCGCTGACCATGCACTTTTGTAGCTGCTTGAGTGGCTCACCCTGATCCCAGCATGGGATGCGGTTGGATATAATAAGAGATGGAGTATAGACGCTGAGTGGTGAGACAACGAGAGGTTATAATTCTTACAAGGGCGCTATTAGAAGCACTTAAAAGTCTTGAATAGGAACACTCTATTACGAACACTAATTTTCGGAGTGAATACGCCGTCTTAGTTTCTCAAGGTCCTAGAGTAGATCTAAAAATTATTGAGGTGCACCTGAGCACCTTTTATGAGTTGTGAATGCAAAAGCATGATTGTCGTTCTTGTGCGCGTCCTCGTGAAGGTCTGCGCATCGCTGTCATCGGCCGTTCTCTCGGCGGCACAAAATCGGCTGCAGGAATAGGCTACAGGAATCGGCTGGCGCGCTGGCGGAGCGAAAACGCAGTGCCACGGGGTGGCTCTAATTGAAACTAACGTGCGGCGGCCTCCTTCGGCTTCATTTACTTGCCGTTTTGCGTGGCTTTTTGCGCGGCTTCAAAGTTGGAATGCCTCAAATTTCGGCTTCCCGAAGTTATGTGCCGTAGTTGATAACGTCGGCTTGCTCCATGGAACACTCAATGCTTTCACATTCAAACGCCGTACATAGAGTGATAGGTTCGAAAAGTTTACCGATTGCAAGGGTTATTGTGGAAAGTAACACAGAGAGGATAAATTGTGTTTTTATCTTGCTTCCTGAGTTTAATAATCACACCAAAACATTTTACCTCTTGTACGCAATTTTATTTTTAAGCTATGTGGATGTGCCTTGAATTAATGACGACATAAGTCATGAGGAATACAAGGCCTTCTCAATTCCTACTTGAGCCGTTTAGTCTTCCTGATATGTACTGCAGTGAAGCACGCGTGTGGTAAAATATTTCTCTGCTGTACTGCAGATTATTAAAGACTGAGAGGACGGTGAACTGATTCACCTACGTCAATGTGTGTGGGAACTGATTAACCCAAGGATTCAATAGGCGACGTCTTAATAACACGATCGGCAAATGATTGTGTAACGTTTTATTTATTAGAAGTTGAAACACTATTTTAACTCAAAGACGAACATTTTGGAAAGCCTTTTTTCTTTGCTTAAATAACCTGAAGTCAAGAGAGTGTATATATTCTGAGAAATGTCTACAGACTGTAATATTACCTGATTATTGTGACTTTAAGGCTGCGGTCCCATGGGCGCTATCTTGAACGCGGCAGGAGTTCAACCGCCAGGGCGCCGATGCACGACCGTTAGCGAGCCTACATGTTTGCGCATGACACCGGCGTTCCTTCTTCACGTATGCGATTCTCTGGGCCGCGAGACGTGGCTCCGCTCCCCCGAGTTTCGCGCACTCATTCTGCTCAGTTTCACCACGGCCGTTTTGCTGCATTAACTTCGACAACAGCCTTCTTTTTTTTTTTTTTTCTGAATGAAGTGTTCGTTTTTATTTTTTATTTGCATTCCTCCAGGGAACATCACCGCATATTTTTTTCTTGTTTGGCAGATCGAATGTTGTCGTCTCTCTTGATCTGTATACACGAATACAAAACCAGAGAGGGGTGCAGAAAAGCTTCCAAAACCAGACGTGCAAGCAGGTGTGTTTAAAATCGTGCAGACCATTTATTAGTACATATATTCAAACGTGCAATACAAAATTCAATCGAGTAGGTAATTTATAATTCGCTCTCAACAGTTAACAGCTTTCAATCTGCACCATTAGTTTTGAACCGGAGAGTTGGTCGTTTTTCTTCTCCCTGAATATCATTGTGACCATAGCCCTGTGTTACATTTTAGGAAACCTTTGAATAGAAGCGCCGAAGAACATGGACAAGCGAAGAAAGTAACGTCAACATGGACCGCACTCGGAAATCAATGTTTATTAGAGAACACATTGTCTTAAATACTTCAATCAAACCACGTTCCTACTAGCCCCCACCCTACTACCTCTCTAAAAATAATTTTTGCATTTTGCTTATCTAACAGGGCCACGGACGGCTGCCTGCTACACTTATCGGCGCTCCCTGTTTGGATGACAAGAGCATCGTGAATTTCGCCAGTGGTTCATCCACTGTGCGGTCCCAGGATGGGTTTGTTTGACAACAAGGGGGTGCAGCAACATCGCTCGCAGCGCACTTCTAAATGCCTAGACGACGTATGTTTGATAGCTCCTGCGTGTTCTCTCGCAAGATCATTTACGCAGCAGCATGTGTGCCCTACGTTGGTTTACCAGCAGAACAGTGGAATGTCGTAAACTACTAAAATGCTAGTTTAAAAAAAAAAAAAAACTTTATTTTGTTTTACGTTTTACATCCGTTACCATCCGTCTTTGAAGCATTGATTCTTTTACACTAGGCCGAAAAGTTATTCGGGCCGAAAAATACAACCGGAACGTTGTTACGCACCGCAAGTTTTTTTCTTATTTTTCTTTAAGTTCTGGGGGTTATCATGCAGAAAGGAATGATGGCTGGTATTATTTTTGTAGTATATTAGCTTTTCGTGTGACACAACTACATTTCCTTTCTAGACCATTCACCGCATCAGTCAGGGACTTCAGCGGAAACCCTGCAATTAATAGGCCACCTAACTGTAGCTCGAAGCTCATGCCGATTTCATGGTAACATTATGTTTTCAACGGAGCTCCGAGACAGGACGTAGTTATGCTTTTTTTTTAGTTTTGAATATGTGGAGTCGTACTGTAGCGCAAATTCTTTTGGAGCGTGGATCATAAGCCCAACAGTGTGACTGTCTAGAAATGTGGGTTTTAAAGCAAGAAACTACAAAAAGCTCTCCGAAGTTTTCCCATAGGTAAACACCAAGCAACAGAACCAAGCCTCAAACATACTTATCAATTCAGCTACAACGTTATCAGTGAACTCCTTAGGGGGGAAGACAATGGCCAGATAAACGTCAACATATCTAAAAATACCTTTATTTACGAGTTTTTCAAGTAGATATATGTCACAATATGCTAAAAATTATTAAACAATACATGGGGTACCCTGGAACCAATACAAAAGTACTGCCTTTGTATGTACATCACACATCCAAAATACAGAAATGTATATTCAATATAAAAAGACAGGATTTCAGTTATGCTTTCCACGCTCATGCCGCAGGCGCTATGGTAGGCCGTTTCTCCATTGTTCTGGATATAATTGATTACTACAACAAAAAGAGCCTGATGTAGAACAGCGTAAAGTAGATCTTCAGCATCAATTGAGAAGGCATCACACTTCCCTCTAGTTCAATATTTGAAAACTTCAATCCCCTCCTCCGACCTTCGCACCAAAAACGCATCACGCAATTTCAGTGTCGACAGGTGGGTTTCATTAAAGGTAGAAATCAGGATCTGCCGAGAATCTCTTTCCGTCACTATCGTGTTAAATAATGCGTCCGTTTTATGTGTTGTTGACGCGTAAAACCTTTTCCAGGGACAATATTTTAATTTTGTTCACCTCCTTCACCAGAACTGGGAGGTCTATGTTAGTGCACATTTCTTTGGCCTCCAACTTCATCTTGTTCAGAAATTCAGGCTTCACCAACTAGAGCTTATTGACGACCGCCTCCTCGGCTTTGGTGTCGTACAAACCATAAAGCAGGTCGACAAATTCTCCTTCCTCGTTGGACGCTAGTAGCCTGAGGTTATACGCGTATGAAGTGGTCAACATTACTTCTCTTCAAGCTTTTTAGGCGTTGGCCGGCGGTACGTCAGATGACATTGACTCCATCTGAGAAACACCGCTCTCTATCCTGGAGCTGCGCCCTCTCTGCCATGGCTCTGACCATTGAAAGATCTTCCGAATGGAAGCAGTTATGGCTTGACGGCGAACTTGGGTCCTATTTCCAGGGTCGCCTTGATGCTTTCAGCAAATTTTGTTCGACGCGGAAAAACACGTAAAACGGACGTTCCTTTTAGGACAATAGTGGCTGGCGAAAATTTGTAGTAGTTGCAGATTTTTACCTTTCTCAGAACCTACATGTCGTCACTAAAACTGAATGATGCAGTTTTGGTCCCTAGCACGAAGGGGGTAATATAAGTTTTGAAAAATGTGACTAGGTGGAAACCTGATGCATTCTCAATTGGTGTTGAAAATCTAATTTACTATTTTCCACATCAGTATCTTTTTAATCCAGTAACCAATTCTATCGAGAGCAATAGAGAAACGGCCTTCCGGAGTGCCTCTGGTATGATCTTCGAAAGTTTCATTAAACCTATAGCTTTTTATCTTGAAGATATATTTGTATCTTTTCATTGTGAGGTGTACATATAAACGCAGTG